GGCTTTTTAACAGATGGGGAGACTGGGGCCCAAGGCCACTCAGCGGTGTGGAAAAGTGTCCTGTTCTAGCTTGGAGGACCATTGGCTGTGCTGCACTGCCGCCCCAAATCCCAGATTCTAATGCATACTCACAGGGTCAAGGAGACATCAGCAGAGGTGGAGTACCTCAGGCGAAGGCCTTGGCCATCAGGAGTTGGTTCGGCTTTGAAATTCAAGATGCGGACATTACTGAATTTCAACCTGTGCAACAACCAGAATTCACCCTGTCATTCCTCATGACAGCCATGTGCTGAGCCCTTCTCTATGCAGCGTCATGCTGAGCATTTGGGCCTCATCAGTCTTGCCTACTTTGGTCTTTCCCATGGCCCTCCTCAGAGGTTGGGTTGTCTCCATGCTATGGCGGGGCACACGGAGGACCAGGCAGCTGTGATTCCCCCCGCCCCAGATACCAAGGAAGAGCTATCGCCTGAGCCAGAACTGGAACTCACAACTATTTGACTCCAAAACTCTATGTGTGGAGCCAGCGGGTGCGGATTTCAGTTTCCTCTCTCCTGAGGGGATTTGAAAGTTTATTCTCAGCTGTATTCAGAGAGGAAAGTCTCGTTCCCTGGAAAAGGGAATCCAGGCACCAGCAAACAGGTGGAGGTGAGCGTGAAGAGAACCTTCCCCCTGACCCTGCAATTACAGGATGTGGAAGCTGAAACTCATGTGATGCTCAGATTGGTCGTGTGGCCCCGCCTCTAATTTACTCAGGCTCTGGTGGGCCTGGCCTCAGACCACGTGGGCTCTGTGGGAAGAACCAGTTTTCTTGCCTTTCTGCCTTTAACCTTAAATTTACACCCCTCCCCAAAAAACATGTATTGCCCCTTCCCTATTATTTTGAGGAAAGATCACCATGAAGCACCAACTCACCCGAAAGCCTGGCCCCCTTTAAATATTTTGGAAAGGGCGCCATTCAACAAATCTTTAGTTTGGTCGAACTTCTCCTGGATGGTTTTCCAAGCATTGGAATCCTGAAGCAGGCTGATGTCCTCCTTCAGTTTCTGAAGAAGAGCTAACGTGCGGTCGTCCACCCTCAGGCTCTTAAGAACTGCTCACAAAACAATTGCTATTTAGTGTTATGTACCACTTATGAAGCTGCTACTAGGCACCAGGTACTAGGTAGGGCTGCCTGTGTTGTTTCCTTTAATCTTCATAACTCACTGAGGTAGATATCGACAATATCTGGATTTTACAGATGAGGAAATAGAATGAAAAGTTTAAGAAACATACCTGAAGACATACAGCTACAGAGCCCCTCTTCCTTCCATGCTGTCTTCATACTGATATATATTCATTTTTAATCAACAGACCAACCAATCAATTGACCAGGCAATTGATAATGATTATACGCCTGCTTCTAGTAGTGATGGGGGGGTGGTCTATTGCTCTAAATGAGATGTCGACATAAGTTTGAAAAAGTAGGTCAAAGAAACTGAGAGAATAAACAAAGATATGGAAAATCTAGAATTAAGGAAAAAATATGAGTCCAACCCACAAAAGTGACAAATTGGATCCCCAAGATGAGAGCGTTGTAGCAGGCCCAGAGAGCAATAATTCAC